GTTTCCGGTTGGTAGCCTTGTGGAGCAGCATTCTGAGCGCGAGACAGCGGTGCATGGCTCTGCCACTGCTGTGTTCATTGGCAAGCCAAGGAGTGGATACCTGAAATTGGAGCGAGCAGAGTCGACTCAAGTCAACGCAGGTAAGTGCAGGTGAAGGTCCAACACAATTGAGAGCAGGGGTGAGGTCAACACAGGTAGGGCAGGCAGCGTGAAGGGTGACACAGGATGAGCAGGCAGGGTGAATGGTTGACACAGGTGGGCAGGCATGGGTAAGGTTGACCAAGGTGGGCAGCAGGGTCAAGGTCAACACAGAGGGAGGCATGCAGGGTGAAGCGTCAACACATTGGAGCATGCAGCGGTGAAGGTTGACACAGAAATGGGCAGCAGGGTGGAGTTGACACAGGTGAGCAGGTCATGGGTGTAAGGTCAACACAGCTGTGGGCAGCAGGTGAAGTGTGCACAGGTGAGCGGCAGGGTGAAGGTTCGACCGGTGAGCAGCCAGGGTGAAGCGGTTGACAAGCTGAGCAGGCAGGCTGAAGTGTCAAGCACAGGGGAGCACGGCATGGGTTAAGGTTGAACACAAGGTGAGCAGGCAGGGTGAAGGTTGACACAGGTGGCAGCAGGGGTGCAAGCGTCAACACAGGTGGCAGGCAGGTTGAAGGTTGACACAGCTGAGCAGGGCATGGGTTAAGGTCAACACGGGAGCAGGCAGGGTGACAGGTTCGACACAGGGTGAGCAGCAGGGTGAAGCGTTACACAGTGTGTGCAGGCAGGTTGAAGGTCAATCAGCAGGTGGAGCAGGGCAGGGTGAAGTGACATCGGGGGCAGGGCGGTGAAGTTGACACAGGGTCTGGGCAGGCCGGGGTGAAGGTTGACACATGGGCAGGCAGGTGGATGGTTTGCACAGGTGGGGCAGAGCAGGTGAGGTTAGAGCACGGTGGCAGGCAACGGATGAAGGTTGCACAGGGGAGCAGGCAGGGTCGAAGGTTGGACACAGGTGATGGACAGGGTGAACGGTCAACGTCAAGGTGGCACGCAGGGTGAACGGTTGACTACAGAGTGGGCACGCAGGGTGAAAGCTCAAACACGGAGCAGGCAGGGGTGAAGGTTGACCACAGGTGGCGCAGCAGGGTGAAATGGTGGAGCACAGGGGCAGTCAGGGTGAAGGTTGACACCTGTAAGGCTCAGGCGGGGCAGGGTGAAGGTTGACACAGGTGGGCAGGCAGGGTGAAGGTTGACACAGGGGAGCAGGCAGGGTGAAGGTTGACACAGGTGGGCAGGCAGGGTGAAGGTTGACACCGGTAAGCAGGCAGGGTGAAGGGGAAAGGCAGGTGATCAGATTAGACACATGTGCAGCTGATGTAAAAAACAAGTACATGCATGCCTAACCGTATATACACACGTGTTTTGTGCATGACAATATACAACGTACACCCACGCAAACTCACACGCATAGACACGCACGCACCCACACCACGCACACACACACACACACACACACACACACACACACACACACACACTAGTACATACGTAGTACGCACGACCTACGGCGCCGTAACGCATTCTTTTCTCTCTCTCTCACCCGGTGTGTCGCCG